GGAAGAAGAAGAGAAGGAAAACTTGTTTATGCATACCCCCGCAGCTCCCGAGGCCTTTAATAACACAGTGCAACCTCACTTATTGGGTGCCTCCCCTCTGGATGATTTCAGCCCCAGAGGCCTGATCTCTCCTCATGAAAAGGAGGAGGCCGTGGAAAAGGCTGATGAGGAAATCAACGAGGATGATGATGAGGAAGAGGATGATGATGATGATGAAGAACAAAGGAGACTGGGCTATCAGCCTTCGTCTTTGATCACTGACATGAGCACGTCTCAGCCCTCTGACGACTTCCAAGTGCGCTCCTCTGCCTTTGGAGGTTCAACAGGGTGGCACGGTGACGACTTGCTGTCTGGGATGGACTCTGAGGATGTGAGCAGCTGCACCAGCAGCCGACAGCAGGGGGTCTCAGACCTTAGTAGCACCCAGCATACCGCAATTCTAGAGGGCACCCAGAGTTCAGATGCCCTGGTTGACACTAGCCTCCGTGGTTCTGAGGGAGATGGTAACCTCATGGGTTCTCCCAATGTGGAAACCCTAGCCAATGAAGAAGAGGACGAGGATGATGAGGATGAGCGGGTGGACGATATGGATTTGAGCTCTGAGAGGGTAGACGAACACCATAAAGTTTTCCAGGAGCAAGGGCAAGATGAGGAAGAGGATGAAGACGTGGAAATGCGCAGTGAAGGAGTGATGGAGAGCTGTGAGAATGAGGATGACTTTAATGAGGAGGCACATTTAGATAACCTCAATCAATCGGGTCCTCCGCCCTCCATCCCTGCATCCTCCTGGGGCCAGACCAACCCCTTCTGTGATACCTGGGCTCAGCCAGCCTCTCTGCTCTCCGTCTCCTCCCCCAGCCCTGTGTCCGACCACGGTGCTGCTGAGTCTGAAGCGCCCACCCAGTCTCCTGCCCAGGCATGTTTGGACGTCAGCGCCCCATCCTTTGCTCCTGAGATGGAGCAAGAAACCAACCTTCATCAGTCATCATATGAGGAGACGAAGGGCTCAGTTCTTGCAGAGGCTCCCACCCTACTTGCTGCCCCACCTGTAGGCATGTCCCAGTCCAGCACTCTAAGCGGCACGGCTCTGGCAGCCCAGAGCAGCAGCGAGACAAGCACACCAGAGGAACTCCGTGACTATGACAGCAGCTCTGGAGTCGAGTCCCGCTCTGACAAGCAGCAGACCCCAGTGCCTGCTTCGGTTCAGCCTGACATGGAGCAGGATCTCGGTATTCACTTAGAAAAAGGCGACGGAGAAGAGGAGGAAGCCGAGACGCTCCCCGCCGACGAGGTCCTGGGCACCGGACCCCCAACTGCTCCTGCATCCGCCCCTTCTTCCCCTTCCACCTCGGGAGACGAGGCCAGCGATACAGAAGGGGAGATGCAAATAAATGACCCTGAAGCACCCATGATGGTAGATGAAAGTGCCGGGTTTGAGAGTCCTCCTCAGACGTGTAGCCTGCCCGCTCTCGAGGAGGACGAAGAGGCTGGGGACACACCAGCTGGGGAGGGTGAGGAGGATGGGGGCGGGGCCACCCCTCAGTCAGCCAATTCTGTAGCGTCTTACGGCTTCGACTGCACTACATCCAACTCCAACGCCCACTCCATGGCTGAGAGCTGCGGGAAGAGCCCTGGAATCTTCTCCTTGGAAAACGAGGAGCAGCTGCCAGAGGAGGCCAAAGACCCCTCCCTCATCAAGGAGCTGACGCTGCCACCAGCTGCCACCTCTGCCCTTGCAGAGGACCTGCTGGGCAGATCTGTGGATCTGATGCCTTTGGGTCACCCGGAGGATAACCATCCCAGTCTAGATGACCACCACTACATGCTGGGAGGGAAGATTGCAGCAGACCAGCTGGAGGACATCGATCCAGTCGAGGCCGAGGAATCTGGAGGCACCGGCGACAACCAGGCATCCTACTACTCTACCATATCTGATAAGACTGATAGTTTTCTGGCAGGTAACGTATAAGTCCCTCCTGTTACCCCCCGGAATGCACCTTTTCCCTGCAACCCTCCCCCTTTTACCTGTTTTCTTCTTTTGTTTTCTCTCCAATTGGGTTAGATGGTTAGAAGAAGAAAAAAAAAAGGAGAGCAAGATTGTAGGAAAAAAGATTTGAAAAAAATGAACAAAGGAGAAGGAAAAAAAATGACTGTAGCAATTTTTAAATGAAGCCTCCCTCTTTCATACTGTTATGGTCACGGTTATGAGTGTATGGCTTAACTCCATTTTTCTAGTAGGATGTTCTTTTTAAGTAACCCTGCTTATTCTGTAGCCCCTGATGGGGTATTGACTGATTGGTCCAATGTGACTGAGCTTTTAAACCGAAAAAAGGAAAAGGAAAAAAAAAAAGACAACACACAGACGGAATAATATGGACTCATTGTGTATTTATCCTACTGTTTTTACCAATCAAATGTCAATGATTTTTGTTGTTGTTTTGTATTTGCTTATTTTTTGGGGGTTTTTTTGTTTTGTTTTGGTTTCTGTTAAAACCTGGTCCTCCCCTTCCCTGTGTACACACACTCCATGTTCAACAGCACCATAGCGATAGTCGCTTTTTTCTTTTATTTGTTTGTCTTCTGCTTTCAAGACTTTTAGCTATCAAAATAAAGGCTAGATATTAACACAGCAGGTTTCATTTTGCCGTTACGGATTAGTTGAAGTAGGTGTGTGTGCGGGGGGGGCGGTCAATAGATTGCAGTTGGTGACGCTTTTAATGTGTGCTTCAAGAGGTTCTACTGCTCTTTGCATAGGTTGTTAAGGTATATAACGTGCAGTCACGTACGGTATGTGTTTCAGGCGTTTGGTTAAGTGGCTTCAAGCTTCGAGCCTCAGTTAGCAGATCATTTGTGTTCCAAGAAGAGACTAACGGCTAGCCTTTTTATTCGTGATGAGACGCTACATAAGCTCCACATCACAGCTTTACACTCTCTGAAACCTTTTCATAGTGGGCGTTTGGTTTACTATTTCAACAGTATATTGCATGTTTAATTAACAAAGACTCTGTACTACCTGGAAATTTGCAACAATTCTACACTAGACATGATGTTCAGAAATGAATGGTTCACATTAGGTTATCTTTCAAAATTCCATTAAAACATCATTGCAAGGCATTTTTGTTCCTGTTTCCTTTTTTCCCTATGGATCCGAGCATGTCTGAACTCGTCTCCTTGTGTTTGTGTGTGTGTGTGTGTGTGTGTGTGTGTGTGTTTATGCAACAGTATTTCCCAAGTGGCGTCTCTTATTCTTCGCCATGGGAACTGCTGTTAAACAGGAAGTGATGTGGCCGTTGTTCAATGGTGTTGTGTCTAGATGGAATTTTGGTCAAAGTAAAAAGGCAATCCAAGATCTTCAGCACGCTTACTTACACCTTTGTCAACTTTTCAGATCCGCCAACACAATGTTCAGCGCACTCTCTCTCTGACAGGCAGTGCTCACTTAAGGTTCTTGTAAACAAACAAAGCTGTTCTGTGAGAGACGCATTTGTCACACCTCAAAAACATTTAAATGGATCTATTATGATTTTCCGTCACATACACACTGTCACACACTGGTGGATGTTCACATTAAACATGGCCACAGTATTAAGTATGGTCAGTAGAAGCATTCTAAATACTCTGTTTCAGATAGTTTTCTACTCGTGGAGCTGTATAATAACCTCAAAATATACTTTTCCTTAATATGACCTTAATATGTTCACGTCAGGCTTACAGCTCTGACTTGGCACAGAAGCCCCACTGAAAAGCAGCAGCCAATCAGAAGAAGGTCAGCTTAATGGGACTCCTACACTACAAACAAGCATTTAAGAAGATCGCTTAAAGTTCCTCTTCCTCCTCGTCTTTGCACAAGCACATTGCTACACTTCTTGTCACATTGCCACCATCAGTTGTCACAGCTGTAGTAGCAGATTGTACCCATTGTTTCACAAAGATAAAGGGGCCCAGGCATGAATTCATCGGGCTACCAGTGCTCAAAAACTGTACAGAACACATTTAGCAGCATTTCTGATTATTCTCCCTCCTGCAGTAATGCAGTAATGAAAAACCACTTATGATGAACATGACATTAAGTCAGCAGTGATATAAATTGGGGAGGTGGAATGGAGGTGGGCTGCAAAGAAGCTTGCAGGTATAAAACAGTTGGATGACTCGTGCTGCTTAAAATGCAGGTCCAGTTTGAGTTTAGCCAATCAGATGTGCAGAAGGGCATGAGGTGAATCTGCATCCTTGTTCGCTACATATGCAGCTATAAATAGTACCATCTCCTCTCTGGTCTGGCCTCGTGCTCTTCCTTGAAACCCTGACCAGAACATACCCCACAGCACACACACTGACACAGCTGTAGCTTAGATGTCTCTAAAATACCAGCTTTTGTCATTTCCTAAACACTAAATTTACATTCATGAGACCATGAACGACTTGATTCAGGTTTGTGCTTCCCTGACTCGGTGATTATACTTCAGTGATTATACCGTTTCTTCTACCGTACACTGAAGTTACTTTTCCACATGATTAAAACCACACATTATCTTGATATATTCAACTTCCTGTGATTATATTTTTTATCAGTTCTATCCCATGTGCCCGTTGTCTGTACTCTACTGTGAATCACATATATGACCACTGTCCTGCATGACAGACATCATGTTCCTGAGAATGACACCTCAAATGTGAGACTGGGATTTTGGTGCAGACTACTCAACCGAGTGGTCCTATATGAAACAAAGGTGTGGCATTAGAGGAAACATGTTGCACTGAGTGTTGTGTGATGTGTTTCATTGTACCGGTTTGTAGCAGCGGTGTTCAGCATTCCTCTATCGCTTTTATTTTGGAAGCCCCTTCCCTTGTTTTTTGTTCCTTTTTTTTGTTACACCTTTTTGCATTTGTGTCAGATCTCTCCTCCTTCCTGGCCCCTTGTTGTACCACCCGTTCTGTTTGATGCATGCATCTATAACGGATGCACCAAGTGATCTTGACTGTCCCACAGGAGATTGGAAGAGATATGAAGTGGATGAAGCTCACAGATGGCAAAAACACTCACAGGAAGACAACCAGAACCAGAACCACACTGCTGCAGCTCCCATAGCGAATGGTCACTACTTGGCAATGGTCCCGGGCAACAGGAGGCCCATTGATCCGACTCTTGCTGCCCATTTTGCCAAAATTGCTCCCCCTCCATCTTTGACCGTTGCTGCTGCTGATGGTCACGCTGGCGGAGAACAGCTGAAGAGGCTGGAGCAACACCAAGAAAAGCTGAGGGAAATGCAGCAGCGCCAGGTGCAGGAGAGGCAGAAGAGGCAGTGGCTGGAGGAAGAGCGTCTGAGGCTGGAGCAACAGAAGCAGCTGGAGAAGCAGCGCAGGGAGCTCCTCCAGCTGCAGCTGCAGCAGCAACAGCAGGAGCACCGCCACCGCAGGCAGGTCCTGCAGTGGCAGCTGGAGCTGGAGCAGCAGTACCGCATGCAGCAGAAACAGATCCAGCAGCAACAGCAGCTCAGGAGGAGCCCGACCGGAGTGATGCTCTCCCCTTCCTCGGGGCTCTGCACCATCTACGAAGCCATGGAAACCAGCGACGAGGAGGACGAAGCCAGAGGGGAGGTGAGAAGGAGGGGGCGGTCCCCCCACCGGCAGCAGCACCTGCGCCCGGTGCCCCCACAAGAACTGGAATGGAATAAGAAGGTGGACATGGTCCAGCAGCTCATCAACCAGACCATGGTGCTGTCTGGTGATACAGACTGCCCTCCGCTCCTCCTCCTCCCTGTGGGGACCGGGGGCACCCTAAGCCCCCTGGAGAGCAGCATGTGGCCCAGTTTGTTTCCCCAGTTCAGCCCTCCTACCGCTACAGTCACATCTGTCAGCAGCTACTCCCCAGACAGCCAGGGCAGCTCCCCAATCAGTGACTGGACTGTGGTCGAGGTGGAGACCCATCACTGAACAAGGGAGGCGGAGAAGCACATCAATAAATCGGAGCGAGGAACAGTTTCACATATTTACGAATATCTGTTTTTAATTTTTGGCACAGGGTTAGGTGAGAAGATTGATACGACTCTCACTGCTGTTCAGCTCAGTCGAGCCACGGTTATTCTAAGAAATTGAAATCTACTGGCAAAGATGGAGGGAAATGTATCCAAATAAGCTCACAAATAAATCTGTATGGAAGCAAAGCACAAAGACGACAACTGACCTTTATTTGATGGGGTTAAACAGTCCCCTCCTGTGTGATGAACTGCTGACACCAGGATTTGGTGTGGATTTCTGGAGGCTCTGAGTTCATGTGATGAGGTTCACCGATGGGAGGGGCTTGGAACACAAATAGGAGAGCTGCAGGAAGCATTTTCTACATACAGCCACACACCAGAGCCAAAAAGGTGATATTGATCTACTCGTCTAATGCTGTGCCAAAATCTCACGCTGTTATTCATGAGCAGCGTGCATCATACGACTGAACTCCTCTCACAGATCTGATCTGCTTAATTTAATGTGCCATCGTTAATGAAGCCATACGAGAATTTTACGGTTAAGCCGGATACTTGATTTAACCATAAGACCATACCAACCTGGTCTTCAACAGATGTCATTATTTGTAGTAGAACATATTCGCTGTAGATGACCCCATGTAATTGATTACTGTAACCCAGACATGCATACTGTCATACTGTCGCCTCACATTAGAGCATGTTCTCCTTACCAGAAGCACTTAACATCTGTCCTCAGCTGTCTTACTCTGAAATGCGCTGGATCTACTTTAGCAGCCCTGTTGTCTCTTGTGTCGTGTGGGTGCAGCGCTCCATGTTGTTGTCTCTTTTGTATCTAGACCAAACACTGGTCGCTCTCTCAAACGAGAGCCTGAGCTATGACAAATTGCACTGGTTTTCTACCGTTGTTTATTCGCTGTTATGGTCTTTGCCAAAGTATTTATACAGGTAAGTAGTGTTGTGTTACATAGCCAGTACTGTTGATAGATGAATATTTTTTCTGGGCTTTTACATCTCCCCAAATCCCCATAGTGAAATACCTAAATCGGTGTATTGTGTCCCCCTACAAACACCAGTCTCTGCTCAGTGTTACTGTGACTATACTCGACAAGCAGGTTTTCATGGACTTAATAGAGCTGTCAGTCACGGAGGAAGAGGGAGGCGTTAAGGAGAAGAAGGGCGCTCCTTGTTCTGCTGTGAGGGGTGAGGGAAGGCGTACAAGGGTGCAGGGCTGGTTGGCGGGGGGAAGAGTTGTCCTCCCTCACACATTCCGAAGTTATAACCTCATTTCCTGGGTCACCCAGTGTTCAGGGAGTCTCCGAGGTTACAGATGACATCATGGTGGGGGGAGAAGAAGAGGAGATGCGGAGATGAGACAATGCACCCACTCTGAGGCTGTGGGGATTGGAGGGTGGAGGGCAGGCCAAGTACCAACCTCTATATTTCTTTTATTAAGTATATTAACATAGTCTGTGAAGAGTTTCTATATATTTCCCTTTGTTATCATATTTTTTAAAAGAGGTGTTTACTTGTATCAGTCAGGTAATGAGAACATAGCAGCCTGTCTGATATTTAAATGTGTTGAGTGAAGAGAAAAAAAGCACCTGTGTTTCTCTTTGTGTCTGCACAAGGTAGGTGATGTCTGTCTGGGATGATCGAAGTGAAGAAACACTGCCACCTGTTGGCAGCACGTGTGGCACACTGACCCATTCTTCCACTTACACAGCCTGTGAATCTCTTGCAGTGACATCATTTAATTTGTGTTATAGCTAATAGGCTTGTCCTTTATCTACTGCTACTGTAAGCAAAGTGCCCGTTTATATGAGTCTGAAGTATCCTAAATGAATATTTTAAAAAGCAGATTATATTTCAAAGTGCACACAGAATATAGTTTTCCAAAAATATTTGTACTACAGCTGGACTATGTTATGTGGCCTCTGCTGTTGTATGCTGCTTTCTATCATATCATTAAGAGTTTGTTCTTTCTGAAAAGATCAACATACAAGCAAGCGTAACTAGTGCATGTGTGATTAGAGTAGACTTATATGTGCACCTTTATTGTCAAAGTACTACTCCGCCTCAAGCCACTTTACACAGATATTTTTGTGTACCTTTGCTATTGAATTTCATATGAATCTATACAAAATTGCTGTTTACATTCTCAGTATTTTGATATTCAGTGTGCGAGTGATCGTCATCCTCTTCTTTAGTACTGGAGAAGCTTTCTTTGTTGTGCCAGTGTTCCAGATCATTTTAAAGTATAAAATGTCAAAACTTTTATGCTTTCAATATTAAATAAAACTGCTTTAAATCAATTGGTTATAGTCTTGTTTTAAAATTCACGTCATTTGAAAAACAAACAATTTAAAAAAAAGATGTAAATGAGAAGCAGCTACTCAAAAACACTGAGTCGGATTATTTTCATACAGAAGAGAAGAGGACCTTTGCTCGGGGTTACATGTGTACGGTAGCCAATGAGGGGTTAACTCAATGTACACTCACCAGCTGCTTCCTTCATTTAAGCATTGTTTAAACACTGCAGCCTAACTTAGTATTGTTTTTGACCATGCCCATCTCTTATGACCACAGTGTCACGAAGCCAAAATCGCCATAAACTGGTTTCTTGAACACAACAAGTCTCCACGGCCACCAGATCTCAATCCAATGGAGCATCTTTGGGATGAGGTGGAACATCACGGAAGTGCAACAGACAAATCTGTGCTGTGAAGTATTGAAGTGTTTCTGAAAACAAAAGGGAGTCCAACCCAGTACCTGAAGACTGTGTGTACACTGTAGATGGCACATACTACACATATGATAGCACTGCTTAGTGGAAAATATTGTTTTCCATAAAAATCCCAGGTCCAAATATCACCAGTTTTCTGTTCATACAGAAATCTGTATCACAAATAAAATCCAGTTCTACTCCTGCACTCTGAGCTCAGCCATAATCCATCCACAAAGACAGTGTGGGTGTACACAGTCTGCACTCACCCTGTATGTCTCCCTCAGCCGTCTGTTGGGTTTGTTAGACCAAGGTGAGTTAACTCACTGTGTCATCAAACCCTTTTATAGTTTGTAGTTCTTTAAAGTTGTTTCCATTGTATTTTAAATGTTGCCTCTACTCAGCTACATTTCAGATGCAAAACCACACTTTTTTTCACTACATACAGTGGGGCAAAAAAGTATTTAGTCAGCCACCGATTGTGCAAGTTCCCCCACTTAAAAT